AGTGTGTCCCTCTGAGTGTTCCCACAGAGAGAATCAGGGCCTTCCCTGCACAGGGGCTCATCCCACAGGAGTTGGGAGCCAGCCCAGGCTGGGATGCTGCAACCAGCACAGGAGCTGCATGGGGAGCACAGTGAGGTTCCCCTCCAGAGCCTTGGAGGAGCCCTGGATCCTCCTCGGATCCCCCTCGGATGCAGGCAGGAATTCTCCCGTGCATTCCTGTTGCTGTTTCCATGGCAGCTCTGCAGAGCCATTTGGGAAGGCAGGATGAGATAAGGATGTTTGCTTCTCTCCTGTTGGGAGCCCAGCACTGGAGCAGCAATCAGGGAAGGTCCTGGAGAGGGCAGGGCGTTGTGGTGGCACCCAGGGAGGAGGCTCTGCCCCCTCTCAGGAGTTTGCCCTGTGCCAGGAGCAGGAGGTGCCACTTCTGCAGCATCTGTGACCTCCCCTCTCTGCTCTGGCATTGATCTGCTTGTTCTGGCTGCTGGATTTGATGTTGCCAGAGAAAAGTCTCTTTCAGAGGCCGGCGGGAAGCTGTCAGTGGGTGACATTTGTTATCCAGGCAGGTTGCTCTGAGTCCTGCAGCTCCTGGTGTCCCTCCCCGTGCTCTGTTGCACTGTTTGCTGGGCTGGCTCACTCCAGAGCTCTCCCAGTGCTGCTCTTGTGGCTCTGGTGGCACAGGCAGGGACAGAGCCCTGGCTCTGAGCAGTCCCTGACCTTCAGCTGGCAGGGCTGCTCCCAGCAGAGTGCCTGGGATGGTCACAGCTGCCCCACTGAACCAGGGCTGCCCTTTGGTGCTGGGAGGAGGCCCTCATCTCTTCTGCCACCAATTTAATTCTATTTTCTGTCTCTTCTGCCACCAATTTAATTTCTGTTCTCAGAGAGGGGCCTGGTGGTGCTTTCCAGAGCACATTAAAAGCAGTTTTTGATTGCTTGGGACAGGAGATGCCTGGAGATTTCCTGGTTCCAGACAGACTCTCGCTGGCTGTTTGTTACCTTGGGATCTCACCCCATATTGCAGGGAGGGGAAGAGCGATGGGCCCCTCCTGCACCCCCAGTGCTGCTGGGGACAAACAGATGGGGACAGAGCAGGGAGGCACCTGCAGCCTCTCCCCAGAGAGGCCAGGCTCTCATTTTCTCCCTTGCCATTAAAGCTCTCTGCAGGAAGCTGTTTTTCCTTGCAATTGCTGTGATTTTCTTAAAAGGTGTATCTTTGACCTGGCTGAATGAGCAGATCTCATCAGTGGGGAGGCTGAGGGAGGGCAGCAGTTACCTGGGGGCGGTGGATTTATTGATGCAGGGTGCCCGGGAGGCAAAGCTGCCACATGGAGAGCGGTTCTGCAGCAGGGCTGCAGCTTTGGTGAGTCCCTGAATGGCACACTGAGGATCACAGAGCTGCTCTTTAAAGGCAGCCCGTGTTTGCAAATCCCCTGCCCTCTCAGCCGGGTGTTTAATCTCATTGTTTTGCTGGGGATTATTCCCTGGATCACTGGACACACTGTGGCAGGGATGTTTGCTCTCCAGGTCAGGAAGATGATGCGTGGCTCTTGGGGAGGATTCAGCATTTGGAATAAGCCTCGGGACTTCATCTGTGTACAAGGAGAGGGGAAACAAAAATCTGAGCAGTTCTGAACACCTGCTGCATGAGCTGAGCTGGGAAATGAGGATGGGGCAGAGCCGGGGGGACACTGGTAATTTGTTAATTAACAGGATGGCTCAGCCCAGGGAGGGCCATTTGTCTTGCTCTCCTAAAAACGGGAGTGCTTGAGTGCTGTAACGAGCTGCTGTTCCCCCGTGGCAGGGTTTGGAGCTGTAAATGCATCCAGCAGCTCCCCCAGGCACAAACCTGCAGCTGCCAGGCCCATTTCCCTCTGCAGTCCCTCAGAGCAGGGCTGCTGGGAGCACACAGCCTGGGAAATCTCCATTCTGCAGAGGAAAACATGCACTGCACATCCCTGTACCTGACTTTATCATTTTAATGTGCCAGCAAGCCCCAGCCTCCCCCAGGGCTCAGAGTCCCTCCGTGAGGCAGGAATACAAATGGCAGAGCCCAGGAGTGTGTGCCCAGCCCCTGTGGCATCCAAACGCCTCTCCTTCCTCTCCTGAGGGCTGAGACAGCTCCCAGGGGCTCCATCCAGATGGAAATCCCTCAGTACCCACCGCTGCTTTTGCTTTATGAGGCTGGATTTATGATGATGGCTCCATAAACAGGAAGCATCTTCACGTTGCAGGATAAATAACTTGTAAAATAAGGCCTCTGAATGGTTCTGCTAAGGGACACTAATGCTCTGGAAAATGACAGAACATTTTTCTCCTGATTGCACTTTCCACCTTTCTTCCTCTCTGGAAAGCAGTGCTGCAAGCTCTCCCCAGGAAGCTGGGCAGGGGAAGGAGAGAGCAAGGGCATTAAATGGGACGAGATTGTTTCCCCTGTGTGAGGCAGCTGCTCACTGCCTGCCGTGCACCTGAAGCTCTGTCCTGCCTTTCCCACCACAGACCACGTCTCCATCGGGGGGCTCGGGGACAGCTTTTATGAATATCTCATCAAATCCTGGCTGATGTCAGACAAGAAGGACTCTGAAGCTAAGAAGATGTACGACGATGCCCTGGAGGTGAGGAGCGAGCTGCTGCTCCCTGGTTTTTGGGGGGGGGACACGGTTCATGAGAAGGGTTCAGACCTTCAGCATGAGCCTCTGGGTTTCCCTGGTACTCACTCCTGGCACTAACTAACACTGAGTAAGTTTTACTCACTGTCCACTCTCTTGAGATGCTGATTTTCATCCCTCTAGGCAATAGAAAAGCATTTGGTGAAGAAGTCTGCAGGAGGCTTGACCTACATTGCTGAGTGGAGGGGCGGCATCCTGGACCACAAGATGGGGCACCTGGCCTGCTTCTCCGGGGGCATGATTGCCCTGGGGGCCCAGCACAGCACCGGGGACAGGAGGCAGAGGCACATGGAGCTGGCAGCAGAGATCACCAGCACCTGCCACGAGTCCTACACACGCTCAGGTACCTGCCCTGCAGCGAATGGGGCATTGCCAGGGGGGCTCTGTGCCTCAGGGCTTTGGGCTGGAAGGGACCT